GGTGACACATACCTAGAGTCCCAGCTACTGGGGAGGCCAATGTGGGAGGACCGCTTGAGCCCAGGAGGTCGAGGCTGTGGTGAGCCGTGATAGTGCCACAGCACTCCAGCCTGGGTGATAGAATGAGACTCCAACAGAGAAAAAAGAAAAGAAAAGAAATCACTGAGCTTCAAACAACAGCAGACAGCCATATCTGAGCTTCTAATTTCTGTTGCTCCCTCTAAGAAAAGGCCCTCGTTCGCTGGTCGGGACTGACATGTTCTCTTCAGAGGTACTGGAGTTTCAAACCTAAAAGGTGCAGGAAAAGAAGGTCTTGTCCAATGTAACGCAGCAATCCCAAAGCTGAGAGGGCTTGTGCCGGGAGGTTCTTTACCTTTTCCAAAGAAGTCGCCTGGATGTCCAGCAGGGAAAGATATTTACTGATTAGAACTTACAGAAGACAGGCAACCCCTTTGGGTCCCCTCCCACTGTGGGAGCTTTTCTGTCCTCTCAATAAATTCTGCTATCTCAAAAAAAAAAAAAGAACTTACAGAAGACATCGATGGTGGTCAGTCAGTAAGGAGAGGGTCCACCCAAGTGATACCGATGGTGGCAGGTCAGTGAGGAAAGAAACTGCACTTTGGAACAGTACAGCAAACAGTTTTATAGGCAAGTAAGTCAATTATTCAAATCTCTATCCCATATTTGCAATTACATTGATTGCCCATGAGGCCCACATTGCTTTCAACTCTGCTCATTGACAGACACCCTGTGACACGTTCCTGGGACTATGCATATCCTTCCTAGACGAGCCTTGGCCAGGGGTTCCTCGAGGGAAGGGGGAGGAGAAACAGTCCATGCCCAGACCAGACCCTGCATCCAGACACCTCACCTTTCTATGCTCTGTGACTTTCTTCTTTTGGAGTAATCTTCTACTCCATTTTCCTCAACATCCGTTCATATACTGAACTAAACATGACTTTTAAATATATTTTTCTTAATCCAACACTTTATTTTAACCATAAATGACCCTCTATTTTCTAGGAAAAAAGTCTACAAATGTAGGCATGATTTCTTTTGGTATCACATACACACCCACACGCACACACACCAAGAAAAACCAAAGCACATCATATCAAATGACTTAAGATTGATGATAAAACTATATAAAACATTGTATTACATGATACAGTAGACACTAAGGAGAGTAAACAACAAAGTGTCTGCCCCCAAAGGATGCCTTAATTGCTTTTTTTGGGAGTCAAAATCTCACTCTGTCTTCCAGGCTAGAGTACAGTGGCACACCTAGGGCCACCACAGCCTTGACTAATTGGGCCCAGACAATCTTTCTGCTTCAGCCTTCCAAGTAGCTGGAACTGCAGGCATGCATCACCACACCCAGCTATTTTTTTTTTTAATTGTAGAGATGAAGTTTCACCAAGTTGCCCAGGTTGGTCTCAAACCCCTCGACTCAGGCAATCCTCTCACTTCAGCCTTCCAAAGTTCTGGGATTACAGGCATGAGCCACCATGCCCAACCTAGGATGCCTTACTTTCTGCTTATATATAAATATAATTTGCATGTGGGGCAAATTATGTGAGGGTTGGAGGGGTAGCAGGCATGAGTCAGATTCTAACATGGGTACAAAAAATTGGTAGGTTTGACTCACAGGTTGGACAGCATCTGAAAGCAAGGTTTAATCTTTAATTATTATTATTATTTTTTGAGTTGGAGTCTCACTCCATCACCCAGGCTGGAATGCAGAGGCAAACTCACGGCCACCCCAGCATCAACTTGCTAGGCTACGGCGATCCTTCCACCTCAGTCCTCCAAGCAGCCGAAACTATAAGTACACACTACCACTCCGGACTAATTTTTTTTTTTTTTTGTAGTGACGAGGTCTCTCCAAGTTGCCCAGACTGGTCTTGAACCCTTGGGCTAAGGCAATTGACTCATCTTGGCCTCTCAAAGTGATGGGATGACAGGCTGAGTCACCAAGCCTGGCCAATTTTTTTTGGAGACAGGATTTCACTTTGTAGCCCAAGCTGGTCTTGAACTCAAAGTTTCAAATGATCTTCCCACCTCAGCCTCCCAAAGTGCTGAGATTGCACGTGTGCACCATCATGCCCAGCCAAAAAGCAGGATTTTAAAGAAGAATTCAGGAGCAGAACCAAAATTAAGAAACTTGCAAACCATGCAGTGAAGGGTGCATGGGTGAGGGAAATTAATGCTGGCAAGAATCAACTCTTGATAACAAAGCCCCTTGATTTTTTTTTTTTTTGAGTTGGAGTCTCACTCTGTTTCCCAGGCTGGAGTGCAGTAGCATGCTCACGACCACCACAGTCTTGGCCTGCTGGGCTCAGGCCATCCTTCCACCTCAGCCTTCCAAGATGCTGGAACTACAGGCACACACCACTGTGCCGGCTAATTTTTTGATTTATTGTAGAGATGAGATCTTGCCAAGTTGCCCAGGCTGGTCTCGAACCTGTGAGCTCAGGCAATGCTCTCACCTCAGCATCCCAAGATGTTGGGATTATAGCATGAGCCACCACACCTGGCCCAAGATCCTTGATTTTTAAAACACATGTGTACAACTTTCCTCTGGCCAGTTCCCAATTTGTAGTAATTTGAGACCAGACTAAAGTCAGATTGTAAACATGCATCTTGGGTCATAGGCATGCATCTCGACTGCTAACACTGAACTGCATCCCCACATTCTGTTGTCAGTAGATGAGGGAAGGAAAGATTGGAATGACGTGACATAAGCATGATGGGTGGCAAATTCACAGACTTAGAGATCAACCCTTGTCCTGCAAGGTGAAAGACAAATGCTCACCAACAGGTGAAGCACCCTGTAGGGCTGGCTTTGAGAGGTTTAAATAAAATTGAGGCAGGGTATACAGTGAAAGCTTCTCCATTCTTCCCTGGGCAAGATGAGAGTACAGTAAGTCCCCTACATATGAACCTTCAAGTTATGAACTTTAACGATGCACACCTGCACTTTCTTATGTATTTTTCCTCTCCACCAGATGTCAGTAAGGCCTGTTAAATACATATAGTACTATATAACCGATTGTGTAAGTTGGGTACCTAGGCTAACTTTACTGGACTTAAATTGGACTTACAAACACACTCTTGGAACAGAACTCACTTATATGCTGGGGACTTTCTGCATTTATTTACATATTGTTCATAATCAGAAAAGACCGTCTCAATTTTAGAACCTTACTTATCTTCCCAGCCTTTACAGAAACAGATTTCTACAGGCGCTTCTCAGTATGAATCCATAATTCTTTAAACTTATGGAGCTCAAATAGTACATTAAACTTCAGAGAGCCCACTAGGAGTCGTTTTCAAGAACTATTGCTGTATTATTATTGTACAGCCCTTGGTTTATGCATCCAAAGAATGACTGAATTTGAATATGAGTAAAAGAATGCAATACTTTATTGGAAGCAGCTGCAATAGCTTCATCCAGTTTATTTCTAGCTCTATAATTCTTTTTTTTTTCGAGTTGGAATCCCACTCTGTCACCCAGGCTGGGGTGCAGTGGCATGCTCGTAACCACCACAGCCTCGACCTGCTCTGCTCAGATGATCCTTCCGCCTCAGCCTTCCAAGTAGCTGGAACTACGAATGCACGCCACCACGCCTGGCTAGTTTTTGTGATTTATTGTAGGGACGAGGTCTCATCAAGTTGCCCGGGCTGGTCTTGAACCTGTGGGCTCAGACAATCCTCCTCCCTCAGCCTCCCAAGTTGCTGGAATGACAGACTTGAGCCACCGCACCTAGTCTAGTTCTATGATTCTTAATTTAGCATTGTGAAAGCTTAACACACAATCTTGTGCCCATCACACTTATCAGATGACCAAAAAAACATGTTTTGTTTTTCCCACAATATCATGGCAGAATTAAAAGACGTGTAGAAGATGCCAAAGACATGGTATGATTCATACTGAAGAAAAAAATGCAGAGTGTAAAATTTCTTATGTAGGATCTTATTTATTGTGGGTATATATTAAAAAAATGGTTTCAACCTCCTTAAAGAGGGTCAAATTACCATAAAAGCAAACAGATGGGTCAGTTCTGACTGTCTCTTTTTCAAACTATGTCGGGAACAGACCGACAACATTAATCTCATTAAATTTCTGTAAAGCCAATTAGATTGCTAATTTCCGTGGTTCTCAGTGGGCATCCCTTAATGCCGCAATTTAGAAGTGAGAAAATGACCACAGCCTTTAGTAGCAGGACCAAAAGAGATATCAGTGCAGACATTGCTCATCTGGATCTTGAATCGTCAGATATAGATTTGGGAAAAGGAAAGTATTTTGTGAAGTTGATCAACTCACTGGGACTAGGTTTCAAGAAAGGCTCAGTCTTGTCTAGGGGTTGAGTTTTAACATAATCCTACCACACAGAGAATTGCCACTCAAGTTCTTGAAACCGGTCAACTCATTGGTGAATAGGTTTTAAGAAAGGCTCGGTTTTCTAGAGGTGCTGAGTTTTGACATAATCCTACCACACAGAGAATTGCTACTCAAGTACTCTTGATTGGAGGAATTCGGACGTTACATCCAAAAACAGGAGAAGGGAAAATTAAGACAATTCCATTTTAAAGACAGTCAAAGTAATATACTTCCCATGACTGCATAAAGAAAAGAAAGGAGTGATTTTGAGGGAACATGTTAAATTATTTTATTAAGCAGCCCTGCATGTGACTAGATGGAATTAGCTGGGATCAGAGTAGGGTTGAAGCTGAATGGATTCTATGACAGTTTTTTCCTTTCTCCTGAGATTTCTTGAGTGCACAGGTCACCTGGATTAATTTTAAGAGGCATGCATTTTAGAAGGAAGTAAAAGAAAGACAGAACTCCTGACAGTGTTCAAGGGAGAGCAGAGTCCAGGCCAAAACCTCCAGAGAACCAATTACTGGTTTCTAGACTTAAACGTTTCGTGTGATATATTTTCATCAAAGCACACAAATGTAGGAGCCGTTCTTTCGTAACGGCTCAGATTCAGTACCTTGCCTGACCCAGTCTCCACGATGGAGTCTGTGCTCTAATATGTGACAGGACTTGTGACCTCCAGAGAGCAGTTCTGTCCAGTTAATGGTCATGGTGGTGTCTTCATCCTCACAGGCGCTCGCAGGCCGTTCAAACAGGGAAATCAAAGCCGCGGTGAAGACAATTGCTTGAACCTTGAAAGAGACATTGGAAGCAAAAGTATTTTGTGACCACATTTGACACAACATAGACTGGGTAATTGTTGCAAGACAAGATGATTCTATGCGCTCCAAGTTTAAGAAGGAATCGATATTGAATTAATAAGAATGTCTTTAATATTATTTAAAGGAGGCAGGCAATTATATTAAAACACAGAACATCGGTGAGGCTGGTAATGCTATTACCGGGGACGTCTATTAATTGTTTTTAAGATACACTTGTCACTGAGGACAACAAGAAAGACAAACTTTCGCAATTACAAAAGGAAAGGGTTCAAATTAAACTTCTTCAGAGGTCACAGACATATTCTCCTGTCATTCATTAAGTAATCATTCTTCACAAGGTGGAATCTGATAGGAAGACAGAAATCACTGACTCCAGTGTCTATGTTTCAGTGCTGGCCTCCTAATGCATCGGTCCCTTGCTACATGAGACAGGGTGTGAGCGCTCCCTGGATCCTGGGACTGAGAAACCCAAACCCATATGAAGGGAATCAGAATAAATCCGAGAGACTTTTGAGGGCTAAACTTAGACATTTGATTTTGAACACTTTTTAATGTGGGGATCTAATAGACTAAGCAACCCATGGTGAAAAGGTTAGCAAGATTTTTTTTTCTAAATGTGGAAAATAAGACCCTACATAGACCACACACACACACACACACACACACACACAACACACACACACACACACACCATGAAGATTTGTTTTTTTAAGCAGGAAAAGGAATTGTGACCTAATCCATCTCTTCCATGTCCAACATGTGTGACCTTAAATCTAGAATGTAATTCACTTAGGAAGTCACACTCTTTACATTTTAATTTCTATACTGAGCTACAGTTTGATTATTAAATTCACAGTGTTCAGTCTTATCCTTCCCTCACTTACCTTTCCAGTTACATCCCCAAAAGACAGGATTGATTCATTGGCATCAAGAGGATCATACCAATAATCCATGCAAATGGGTGTTCCTTTCAAGCCTTGGAGTTTGTATTGACAAGGAAATTCCTCTTTGGACAGCAGATCATAGAAACAAATCTCTTTACTTGTAAAAGCCACCGCTACCTAAAGTAGCAGAGTAGAAAATCAGACAATATTTCTGATGGATTTAGTGAAATTAATATGCAAAGCAGACATGTAAATCTAGTTGCCAAATTAGACATCGTTGCCTGAGGTTCCTAACAGTATTACAGAAGCATCGCACAGTTGCACAATGTACTTCATGCTCACTTTGGGCCCTAGCCAAGAAAAAGCTTTTCCCACTAGAGGCATTTGAATATGCTTTCTCTCCTGTCTCCTGTCCACACACCCACCTCCCCAAATCCTTGATCCATGGGGACCAAATCAGCAAAGTCTAAGACACAGAAAGCTATGGCGTCATAGTCATGACAGAAGTTTTACAAACCATGTTTTATGATGCAAGCAAAGGCTTTCATGGACATTAGTTGATAAAGACCATGTAAGTAGCTTCCTCCTAAGTCAAATAAAATCCTAAAGGCTATTTTTAAAAGAAGTCATTTAACAACATAAAAACACACTGGATTTGCTAGAAAAAGACTTCAGTTCAACTATTATAAATATGTTTAAGCAACTAAAGAAAACAATGTCCAAAGAACCAAAGGAAATATGAGAATGATGTCTCACCAAAGAGAGAATTTCTATAAATTTGTATAAATTATTAAAAGAACCATTCTGTCAATCCCTGCCTTTTAACTGGAGTTTGAATCCATTCAGATTTAATATAATTACTGACAAGGTAGGACTTATATCTGCCATTTTTCTAATGACAGAGCCCCAAAATTCGTGAAAAAAATAAAGAGAGAAGCAGACATTTCAGCAATAACAGTTAGAGATTTCAATCCTCCACTTTCAATCATGGATGGAACAACTGAGTTGAAAATCAATACGGAAATAGATGACTTGACAAACATTATCAACCAACTAGATCTAACAGATGTCTATAAAATACTCCATCCAACAACAGCACCATATATATTCTTCTCAAGTGCACACGAAACATTCTCCAGGACAAACCATACATTAGATGATAAAACAAATTGCAACACATTTAAAAGATTTGAAGTTATACAAATTATCTTCTTCAAACACAATGGAATGAAATGATAAGTTTTATTCAACAAAAGAAAATTTGGAAAATTTATAACTACATGGAAATTAGACTACACACCCCTAAATTACAAATGGCTCAAAGAAGAAATCACAAGAGACATTAGAAAATACATTGAGAAGGATGAAAACAAAAGTACAACATATGAAAACCTATAGGATACAGAAAAAGCAGTGTCTGGAGTGAAGTTTATATTTCTAAGCACCAATGTTTTTAAAATCTCAAATTAATAACCTAACTTTCCATCTTAAGAAACTAGAAAAAGAAGAAACCAAACCCAAAGCAGGCAGAAGGAAGGAAATAACAAGAATTAGTACAGAAACAAAACAAATGGAAAAGCAATAGGAAAAAAAAAACTAAAGCAAGCATAGTTCTTTGAAAAAATTAACAGACTGGGTGTGGTGGCTCATGCCTATAATCCCAGTACTTTGGGAGGCCGAGATGAGAGGATGCCTGAGCCCACAGGTTCAAGAACAGCCCGGGCAACTTGGAGAGATCTCATCCCTACAATAAATCAAAAAGTTAGCCAGGCATGGTGGTGCGTGCCTGTAGTTCTAGCTACTTGGAAGGCTGAGGTGAAAGGATCACCTGAGCCCAGCCGATCAACGTTGTGGTGACCATGAGCATGGCACTGTACTCCAGCTTGGGCAATAGAGTGAGACTCCAGCTCAAAAAAAAAAAAGATGAACAAAACTGGCAAAAAGGTCGCTGAACTAATCAAGAAAACGAAAGAAGATACAAATCATTAAAATCAGGTGATACAATCAACCTTCCAGAAATTTGAAAGTATTGATAAGAAAATATAACAGGCCGTTGCTTTGTTAAACCCTGCTGTCTCCATGTGACTTTTTGAGCTATGGCTGCCATGTTTCTTAGCGCTGGCCCCCTCCACTACCTAGGGGAAGTGAATCTCAATCTCTTTTTCTCTCTCTCTTCACTTTCAAAATAAACTTTGCTTGAAAAAAAAAAAAAAGAAAAAGAAAATATAATAAACAACTGTGTGCCAAAAAATTAGATAACCAGCCGGGCTCGGTGGCTCAGCCTGTAATCACGCGCCTTTGGGAGGCTGAGGGGAGTGGATTGCCTGAGCCCGTGGGTTCGAGACCCGCCTGGGCAGCGAGACCTCAACTCTACAATAAATCAAAAAATCAGCCGGGCGTGGTAGCGCATGCCTGTAATTCTTGCTACTCGGAAGGCTGAGGCGGAAGGATCGCTGGAGCCCAGCAGGCGAGGCTGCGGTGGCCGGGAGTGGCCACTGCACTCCAGTCTGGGCAACCGAGTGAGGGTCCAACTCAAAATAAATAAATAAATAAATAAATAAATAAATTAGATAACCTTTATGAAATGAGCAAACTTCAAGAAACACAAAAATTACCTAAACTAACTTAAAAAGACAGAAAATATCATCAGAACTATAAAATAAAAAGATTAAACTAATAAGAAGAAATGTCTCACAGACTAAAAGTCTTCACTGATCAATTCTACCAGACACTTAAAGAAGAATTAATACTAATACTTCTCAAACTCTTCCAAAAAATTTAAGTGAAGGGACTACTTCCCAAATCATTTTATCAGGCCAGTATTAACCTAATAATGAAACCAGACAAAAACATCAAAAGAAAAAAAGACTGCAGTCCAATATTCCTTATGAATATAGATATAAAAATACTTTATTAAATACAAGCAAAGAGCATCCAATAACATATATAAAATATTACACACTATAACAAAGTGATATTTATCCCAGGAATGCAAGGTTGATGTGACAATTGAAAAAAATCAACCAATATAATACATCATATTAATAAAGGATAAAAATGATATGATTATCTTAATAGATGCCAAAAAATCCAACATTTGACAAAAATCCAACACATTTTCATGATAAAAACAATTAAAAAACCAGGAATAGAAGGAAACTTCCTTAACCCAATAAATAGTATGTACCCTCCCACACACACACATACCCTACAGCTGACATCACACTTAAAACCAAACATATTCCTCCCAAGATCAGAAGCCAGACAAGGATGTTCCCTCTCACCACTGCTACTTAGCAAGGTAGTCGAGGTTCTAGGCATAGAAATTAAGCAAGAAAAGGAAATAAAAATTATCCAGATTAGAAAGGAAAGTTTAAACTATCTCTATTACTCTATTTGTATTATGTATAGAAAATTTTAAGAATTCCTCAAAAAACTGATGAACTAATAAATAAGTTCGGCAAGGTCAAGAACATATTGTTTGAAAATCGATTGTATTTCTATACAAAGAGAAATCTGAAAATAAAATCGCCAAAGGCAGTGTTAGGAGAATGAAAAGACAAAGCATAGACTGGGATACAACATTTATAAAGTATCCATCTGACAAATATATATATACCCAGAATATATTTCAAACTCTCAAAACTCAAGAATAAAAAACAAACCCAATAAAAAATGAGTAAAAGATTTGAACAGACACTGTACCAAGGAAGATATACATTTAGCAAGTCAGCACATGAAAGTATGCTCAAAGTTGTTAGTCATTAGGTAAATGCAAATCAAAACCACAATAAGATGCCCATACAAACCTTTTACAACAGCTACAATTAAGAGGAAAAGTAACTGATCACACCACGTGTCAGTGAGGGTGTTCTGTATCCCTATGATGGAATACTATACAGCAATAAAAATAAGCTATTGATATACCCTCCACAACGGATACATCTCAAAATAGTTATGCCAAGTTAAACAACCTAGACAAGAAAGGAAAACACACAGCGTGATGCCAATTATATAAAACTCTAGAAAATGCGAAAGGATCTGTGGTGGCAAAAAGCAGATCGGTGCTTGCCTGATGAAAATGAATTGGGAAGAGCATCAAAAGGGTGCGAGGAAACTTATGAAGATGATTAATCTTTTCTTTGGTTTCACTGTATTGTTCATTTTCCCCAGGCCCATATATGTATTGCAATCTATCCATTCGGGGCTCTTTAAAATATGTGCATTGTATTTTGTGTAATTATACCTCAATAAATCTGTTGCGAAAAGAATAAGAAAACAAAACATTTGTTAAGTTTCTATGTTGAGAAAGCACAAAGGAGAGGCCGAGATTTTAGTTCTCCGTCCGAAAAGAAGAAAAAGGGCAACACAGACATCACATGAAAGTATAGCAAGCCGGGCTCGGTGGCTCAGCCTGTCATCCCGCACCTTTGGGAGGCTGAGGTGAGTGGATGGCCTGAGCTCGCGGGTTCGAGACCCGCCCGGGCAACTTGGTGAGACCTCATCTCCACCATAAAGCAGAAATTAGCCGGGCGTGGTAGCGCGTGCCTGTAGTTCCAGCTATTTGGAAGGCTGAGGCAGAAGGATCGCCGGAGCCCAGCAGGTCGAGGCTGCAGTGGCCGGGAGCAGCTACTGCACTCCAGTCTGGGCGACGGAGTGAGACTCCAACTCAAAAAAAAAAGAAAAGAAAATATAGCAGAAGGCTACACCCAGATATAAGAAAGTATAATCTGGACTAGAACATTTTTTTTTTTTAAAGCAGAATTTATTGAGAGGACAGAAAAGCTCCCACAGTGGGAGGGGACCGAAGGGGTTGCCCAGAACAGTCTTTCAGGCCCTACAAATTGAGCTTGGCCCCAGACTCTTCGCAAAAAGGGACTGGATTCAACGTCAGCAACCATAACTGTGGAGGCCGCCACGACTGAGGCCCAGGCCTGAAATCGGGCTGCCTCCATGTACAAACCTCGGCCACACTGAGTACATCCTGTGCGACCAAGGGCACATTACACAGCTTCCTTTGGCTCAGTCCCTCGTCCTTAAGGTGGGAAGAGCGTCTGCTTTGCGTGGCTTTTGAGATGATGAATAGAACAGGGTGGATCACACGGGAAACAGAGGAGAAGGAGGACTTATGTCTCCAGGTCTTGAAACTACTGTTTCCCACTAAAAGAACTGACTTTGGAGAAATGGCCCCTTCTGGGTCTGGTGTGGAAAATATACAAGATGACTCCAGAACATCTTGTCATACCAGGAAACAAAGAAGCTTTCAAAAACTGCTAGGATGGTAAAAAGGCGCTGACTTGCATTTGCTCCCATGCCCTCAAGATGGCACTGTTTTTTGGCATGGGATAATAACTTGGGAGATTAAACCAAAACATAATGTTAACCCATGGTTTTTCAACGATCCTGTTAACAAGAATGAGCGCGCGACACATTGCTCAAAATTAGAGGATCTTAGAGAACCAGCTCATGATTTTGAAAGCTGGCAAATAAAAATGAAGAATTGGGCATTTATCCAGGCTTTATTATAAAATGTGTACCCTATGATAACTAAATAATTAATGAGGGATGTTTCTTTTTTTATAGAGGTATTCTAGCTTATACAGGAAAAGGGAGTAACGAAATTAGAATGTCATCACCTGGCAACCCCTTATAAATTCATGAATGTAGGACTAACCAGCAGTAACAGCTAGCATCTCAACAAGAGAAATCACCGGGTATTTTGTAGCTACTGACTAAAGAACACATAACTGGCCTCTTCCAAACCAACCAATCAACCCGAAATGGATCAAGGCTTCAGACCTGGCTACCAATTTACAGAAAATACAGGAAGCAGGTGGATATATTAAACAACATACGATCTGTAAAATCCAGACTGTGGGAAACTCCAAGTTTCTTTAACAAAAGCATCAACACCAACAGTCAAAGAATGGAAAGAAAAGAAAAAGAAGAGATCGAGAAAAATATTTACCTAAAAAAGACATATCAACCATTCACAATATTTGGATCTTATTCATGTCTTGATTCAAGCAAACTATTAAAAAGTATAAGACAGGGAAATATATACATGACTGGACATTTCATGATGTTAAGAAAATATTGTTACTGGTAGTAAGTGGGAAAGTAATATTTTGGTTGTGCTAAAAAAGACATCTTTTAGAAATGCAGAAGTATTTACAAATGAAATGATTTAATGTTCTGGATCTTAATGGCGGGGCGCTATGTGAATCAAGATGGTTGTGGGTGAATCCTGGGTACGTCAGGTATCTGATACTCTTCTCTCTGCTTATGTGTGCATTTGGAGTTTTTCATAGTAAAATGTATCATATTCTTAATATGAACTATATTAAAATATTAGGTTAAATATTAAAATTTATCATATTAATATTATATAAAATATTCATATATTTTGTATAAAATATTGAGTATGCATTCTACAAGCTGTAATCTTACCCACAAAATTATTTTCCTTACGGTATATTTTGTTGTTCATAACTATTGTTATATGAAGATATCTGGACTGAGTGGGCCCTAAGTATTGGAATTAAGAAACAGGTTGGGTGTGGTGGCTCATGCCTGTAATCCCAGCACTTTGGGAGGCCAGAACAGGAGGATCGCTTAAGGTCAGAAGTTTGAGAAAAGCCTAGGCCACACAGGGACACCTCATCTTTACAAAAAAAAAAAATCAAAAAAATTAGCTGGCAGAGGGATTGCCTGAGGCCGGAGGTCGAGGCTGCAGTGAGCCCTGATCATGCAACTCCACCCTAGCCTGGGCGGCAGAGTGGGACCGCAGCTCAATAAATAAATAAATAAAAAGAAAAAAGAAACGGTGCCGCTGTCAAAGCCAGAGAGTTTCCCTGAATTGCACTGAACTGTGCCATGCACTGTAATGGCCTCTCAGCTCTGCGTGAAAAGCCACAATCCTGCTGTAAGTTATCGAGGAGTGAAGTTCCTACAAGCTGATAATGCAGCATGGCTTTGAAGACAAAGCTAAGGATCTGAGCCATCATCACTTTCAGACATCCAAGAGAGCAGCTTGGGAGTTGAGAACCTCGCTTGGCTCTGCCTGAGTACCAGCGAGGTCGGACAGGCACCCTAAACCTAGCACAGCCTCCTGTAACAGCTGAAGCTGCACTCGATGTAGGTCAGGAGCCCTGTCCGTGATGTGGTCCCCTTTTGCAAGCAGAAAATGTGTTTATAAAGGCTTTGTACCTTGTTTACGTTTTCCAGAGAAACCAGACTCGTCACCCACAGGTGTCTGAGCCTGGTGGCATCTGTCATGATGGGACGTGTTTCTTGCAGCTTCAGATTCTCTCCCCAGATTCCTAATAAGCCGTCTTTACTGATAGTCAGATAACGACTCGAGCTTTTTAGGAAAACTACGCTTTGGATAGTGTCCGTGTGTCTCACAGGGAGGAATGCAAGGTCCTTCCACTGGGGCACCATGGCTGCCTTGGCGTGGGTGTCTTGCTCATAGAGCGCCAGCAGCATGAACGAGGCCAACCTGTCCCAGTTGATGAGACCATCTTGGGCCATGTCCACTTTGTCAAAGAGCTCCCCGTAGTCTTCCTCTGTGCCCCAACCAACAGCCCCTGTCATCCTCTGCATGAACTCTTCTCTGGACATACAAATGGTTTTCCTTGGTGCTGGGGACTAGAAACAGGAGGAAAAAAAATGAGACCACCAGTGAAAGCATCACAGGACAAGAGCATGGAGCCACCCGCAAAGGAAAATGTCTTCTGCTTCATGGTAATAGCATACTTAAGTACGTTTAAGCTGGAAAGTGAGCAAGTGACAAGGTAGACACTGACATTCTCGATCACAAATGTCCTTAGAACAGAAAGAGAGGCAAAGTGGCATGGTGGACTGGGAACCAGAGAGTTGAGGTGGTCTCGACAGACACTGGAAAAGGCAGGGGAAGGGATCTACTCCACAGCTGCAGGAAGAAGGAAGGATCCCTGACAAAATCTGGATTTTATCGATCTCGGACTTTTGATCTCCAGAAATGCACATTCTAAATCTATGTTCTTTTTTCTATTATTATAAAGATGTGGGGTACAACTCAGGGTTAGGTATACAAACGTTGATTATGCAGGTATCCTTGCGGATGAGGTGTGCCCCTCCCTCCCCTAGCAGTTTCCCTCAACTGCCAATCCCAACCCTCCTTCCCTGACAATTTTCCACTACTGCCAATCCCTTTCCTATATATTATTATAATTGTTCAAGGTTCGCTTATGAGTGAAAACATATGGTACTCTGTTCTTTGTTTCTGTGATAGATCACTGAGTAGGATCGACTCTAAATTCATACAAGTTGTTTGTCCTTCTTTATGGCTGCATAATATTCCATTGTGTATAAACAGCCTGGTATTGGTACAAGAACAGGCAAACAGACAATGATAGAGATTCCGGAAGCAAAGCCTCAATTCCTCAACCAACTCATCTATCTTTGACAAAGCCTCCAACAACAACCACTGGGGCGAGGAGAACCTATTCAGTAAAGGGTGCTGGGAAAACTGGCTGATCACATGCAGAAGATTGAAACAGGACTCCTACCTATCACCATACATACAAATTAACTCTAAATGGATCAAAGACCTAAATGTAAAACCTCAAACTATAAGAATCGTAGAAAATGCAGGAGACAACCTTATGGAAGTTGGAACTGGAAACCAATTCTTATTCAGAACCCTAAATGCCCATACCTAAGAAATAAGATAGACAAGTGGGACCTCATCAAACTGAGGAGCTTCTGCAAAGCAAAAGAAACCATCAAGAGAGCAGGGAGACAGCCCACAGAATGGGAAAAAATATTTGCCAACTGTATATCTGACAAAGGCCTCACATCTAGGATCTACAAGGAACTCAAACGTGCCAAAAGGAAAAAACAAACAAACAGCCCCATTAAAAAGACATGAGTAGACACTTCTCAAAAGAAGATACACAGGCAGCCAACAGACACATGAAAAAGTGCTCAGCCTCACTCATCAGCAGAGAAATGCACATCAAAACCACATTGAGATACCACCTAACCCCAGTGAGAATGACCATGATTAATAAAACAAACAACAACAGATCCTGGTGAGGATGCGGCGAAAAAGGAGCACTTCTGCACTGCTGGTGGGAATGCAAACTAATGCAACCTCTCTGGAAGACAGTGTGGCGATTTCTGAAAGAACTAGAAATTGACCTTCCAGATGACCCAGCAATTCCCCTGTTGGGAATATACCTGGAGGAACTCAGATTATTCTACAAAAAAGATACCTGCACACATATGTTTGTTGCAGCTCTCTTCACCATAGCAAAAACATGGAACCAACCATGTTACCCATCAAAGCTGGACTGGATAAAAAAAAAATCTGTGTCCTTTAAGCACTGTCTGTGGTAGTTTTTTGCAGCAGCAACAGGAAACTAACACAGGCATAACTCCCTTAATCGCACTTTGTTGTATTGTGATTTGCGGAAATCGTGTTTTTTATAAACTGAGGATTTGTGGCAACACAGCATCAAGAAAGCCTATGAGTGCCATTTTTCCAACAGCCTGTGCTCACTTCATGTCTCTGTGTTACATTTTGGCAAGTCTTGCAATATTTCAGACTTTTTCATTATTATCATATCTGTTATGATGATGTGTGATCCGTGATCTTTGATGTGACTTTTGAGATTGTTTGGGGGTGCCATAAACCATGCCCATTTAAGACGGTGAACTTATGGATAACTGTGTGTGTTCTGATTGCTCCATCAACCAGTCATTTCCCATCTCTCTCTCTCTCTTCTTGGCCTCCCTATTCCCTGAGACACAACAATATTGAAGTTAGGCCAATTAATAACCCTATAATGGCCTCTATACATGTCCAAGTGAAAAGACGAGTCCATGTCTCTCACTATAAATCAAAAGGTAGAAATGATTAAGCTCAGTGAGGAAGGCATGTCCAAGGCCAAGACAGGCCAAAAGCTAGGCCTCTTGTGCCAAACAGCTAGGCGCATGGTGATGGCAAAGAAAAAGTTCTTGAAGGAAATGGAAAGTGCTCCCCTAGTGAACACACAAATGATAAGAAAGTGCGACGGCTGACAGAGAAAGTCTGAGTGGTCTGCATGGAAGTTCACACCAGCCACAACACTCCCTTCAGCCAAAGCCTAAGCCAAGCCAGCAGAGGTTGGTTCAGGAGGATGAAGAAAAGAAGCGTCGACAAGTGCAAGGTGGTGATGGCAAGGCTGCAGCAAGAACTCTGGAAGCTCCTGCTGAGATCGTGAATGAAGGTGACTACACAAAACAGTGAGTTTTCGGTGAAGACGAAACAGTCTTCTACGTAAAGAAGATGCCATCTCGGACTTTCACAACTAAGGAGGAGAAAGAAGTCAATGCCTGGCTTCAAAGCTTCAAAAGACAGGCTGACCCTTGCTAGCAGCTGATGACTTTAAGTTGAAGCCAATGCTCATTCACTATTCCAAAAATCCTAGGACCCTTGAAAGTTAAGCTGAATTCACTCTGTCTGTGCTCTGCAAATAGAACGACAAAGCCTGGATGACAGCACATCTGTTTGCAGCATGGCTTACTGAATATTTTAGGTCCACTGTTAAGACTTATTGGTGAGGGAAAAAAAGATTCCTTTCAAAATATGACTGCTCATTGACAATGTACCTAGTCACCCAAGAGCTCTGATGGAGATGTCCAAGGAAGCAATGCTGTTTCATGCCTGCTAACACAACGTCCATTCTGCAGCCCATGGATCAAGAAATAATTCTGATTTTCAAGTCTTATTCCTGAAGAAATACACGTGGTAAGGCTCTAGCTGGTGATTCCTCTGATGGATCTGGGCACAGTACATTGAAAACCTTCAAGAAAGGAGTCACCATTTCAGATGCCATTAAGAACACTTGTGAACACAGGAGGTCAAAATACTAACAGCACCAAGAGTTTGGAAGACATGGATTCCAGCCCTCATGGATGATTTTGAGGGGTTCAAGTCTTCACTGGAGGAAGTCACTGAGGATGTGGTGGAAACAGCAAGAGAACAAGAATTAGAAGAGGATCCTGAAGATGTGACTGAATTGTTTCCATCTCATGATCATGCTTGAACGTATGAGGAGCCGCTTTTTGTGGATGAGCAAAGCAAGGGGTTTCCTGAGATGGAATCTACTCCTTTTGAAGAGGCCATGAACCTTCTTGAAACAACAACAAAGGATTTAGAATATTTTGTAACCTTAGTTGATAAAGCAGTGGCAGGGTTTGAGAGGATTGACTCCCATTTTGAAAGAAACTCTTCTGTGGGCAAAATGCTACCAAACAGCATTGCGTGTTTCAGAGAAATCTTTTGTGAAAGGCAGAATCCATCAATGCATCAAATGTCATTGTTGTCTTATTTTAAGAAATTGCCACAGACAACCCAACCTTCAGCAACCACCACCTTGATCAGTCAACAGCCATCAATATCAAGGCAAGATTCTTTACCAGAAAAAAGATTATGACTCTCAGAAGGCTCAGATAACTGTTAGCATTTGTTAGCAATACAATATTTTAAATTAAAGTATATATATTTTTATCCATAATGCTATTGCACATTTAATAGACTATAATATAGTATAAATATAACTTTTAAATGCACTAGGAAACTAAAAAAATTATGTGGTTCAGTTCATCATGATCATCCCTTTATTGCTGTAGTCTGGAACCAAATCCACAATATCTTCAAGTATGCCTGCCCGGTGGTTTATAGCAAATGGGTGAATCCCTGAAGAGGGTTGAGCACAGCCAGTCAAGTTACACCATGATGAAAACTTAACCCAAGGGCAAGGAGGCTACTTCTGTGAATAGGCCATTATAAAGAACAGTGAAACTACTTGCAATGGATTCTTGTTACTCATGGTAGTTGTGTCTTGTAAAGTCTCTGTGATCACTAAATTCGCAGATATTGAACCACCACTCTCAGGTGAAGCACAGGCTGGGTTTCTACAAACTTCCGGTCACAATGATTTCATCAACGGCTCAATACATAATTCTGTTTTATGTGTGTTTCTGTTGAAAAACACCTCAATTTGATATATGTCACTAATTCATCTCCATGGAACCCACACCCACGGTATCATAACTCATGCCTGAATGAAGCTTGCACACATATATTCTCAGTAGGGCCCATCCCAGCCTCTTTGAGCATATGATCATGAGATAGCACTCTACAACTACAGTGGGGGCCCTTTTAAACAGCAATATCCCCAACCAAAAGCCCCAAGATGTGAAAAATATGGCACTAGAAAGACAGCGTAAGGGACCCTTGTTTACAGCTTGAAAGCAGGGACTACAAGGCAGTGTCGCCATTCTGACCACCACGTGGCATGTGTGCACTGGGGGACTTGGCGCATGTCTGCAAAGGACCACGAAAGAGCCATGAGTATCGATTCGGGTTTGCAAATAAATTTCAGGAAGCAGGCAAACTTGCTGGTGCAGAATCCACAAATAATATGGCTTAACACTGGTGGGCCATTTAGTCCGGTGAGATTCATGATGAGAGAATCACTTTCCCTCTACTTCCGAGCCCAAGATAGGACTGACAGAATGCACTGGAACCAGCGTGTGGTACAGCAGGACCAACGCACGCAGCTCTCTTCTTGATTCCACCAGGAGCTGTAAGAACCACTGGCAAGCTACTTCACGGT